CTGGCTTTAACAAAAACGTACATTTTTTAGGACTGATAATTAAAAAGCGCATTTGGTATTGAAATAATAATTGAAAATATAAAAAATTAGGTATGTCTTGTTTTTTTAAAACGTGTTTACAATGAATTCCCCTAACTAAGAATATATTATAAAAATAAACACTATAAAGGAGAAAAATGTCTATGGAACTTTGGTAATATAACTCATAGTTTCGAAGATAGCTGAAGTTCTTTTAATTAGTACACAAAAAGCCTCTACATTCTTATTCATATCCAATAGAAAAGTTGTGTAACATAACAGACTTGTTCTGCAGTTTTTAGAGTGTTTTACAACCAAATTGATTATGCAAGGTGTGTTTACATAAATTTGAATTGGATGTAAAAATAAAATAAAAAAGAAAAAGATTAATCAAACAAATAAAAATAAGTCATCGGGTTCAAATACCTACGTGGTCTCGTTAATACGTTAAAGTTACAGGGTTTAAAAAAACACGTATCTAGTGCGTCATTTTGTGTGAGAAGGTGGCAAGTGGGCTGGCGATTCACCTGATCTTAAGTGATAACCTCCGCCCTTAGACATTTGCAACACCGGCAGGGTTGCAGATGTGTTGCCACCTTTTAATAAAGTGGGCCCCTATCACCTCACTCACCTGACGAAACGCAGAAGTGTAACACTTGCACTTCACGCCGGTCTTCTGTGAGGTCATGTTGCTTCCCCGGATGCATGTTGGTCATAGAACGAATTTGTATTGTTGAGAAAACGTATACTACACTTCTGTCATGATGAAATACTGTAGATTTTGACATAACTTATATATAACAAACAAGAAAGCATCAAAACCTTAGCATCTGATCTTATCAATACTTTTGGTACAAAACAACTGCCACGTATGTTTACAAACATTTTATTTACAACCAATTAATTTTTTGTTGTATACAATACGTTTAGGTTTTTAAACCATATGGCCGCTACTTCATAAAAAAGAATCGTCAATTTACAATTGCTCTTAAGATATCTTTCACGTAATAAATACAGCGTTAATAGCCAATTCAAAAGTTTTTCAATGAATTTCACGTATTTACGGAAAAAGTGACGCCATGCCTTATTCCTTAAGCATTACACTTTTAGAAGGCATTTTGACTTTATAGAAATATTTTCATTAACGCTGTAGATATAGAATAGTTTAGAATAACGGATATTTTATTACGTAAAATAAATAGCTTCAAAACTTAAATATGTTTAATTTAACAATAAGGACGAATATAAAATTGCTGTTATTGTTAGAAAATGTTATGAAGCTTTGATGTCATCCTCCAAGTTAAGTTGTGAGGATTTTTTTTACATCTTCAGATTTGCTCATTATATTTAAAACCACGATTATAATAATATTTAAATAGTATAATCTCATCATTGATTTAAAAAAAAAAAACCGAAGTATTCAGTCTAATTACACTTCAGGTTGATAAGTATTTATTATTTCCTTGATATTATTAGTAAAGAATGTAGTATTAAAATGATTAAGTTGATAAAGATTCATCAAGAATATAGCCTATTTATCGTACTTAGTGATGAATATATTCTGTCCATTACAATTATATACAAAAATGAAAAGTACCTTTTGTTAAGTCGAAAAGCATAATGCTCAAATATCAATAATCCGTAAACTCAAAGTCAATGTTAAAAAAGTCGTAAACTGTAAAACTTGCACAAAATATTTGGTATAAATGAACACATTGTGATGACCGTCGATTATTATTTGAAATTCAACATCATGTAAAAAAACTAAGCCGTGCCGATATTTTAAAATAAATATATTTTTCCCAATTTAATATTCACTGTCGTGAGCAGTGTTATAAAATACTGCTAATCTAAAGTCTGTTTAAAAGAAAAATGTTGTATACTTTAATTCCATTATTTGTCTATGGAAATCTTTACTAATATCTACAGTACATTTATTAAAAACGCTACTTACCTGATAGACGCAACACTGATCGTCTATGGTTCAGATTGCTTAACGTTATTGGTCAATTCCATTGAAACGCTCTTAAGAGTTGCATGATTCGCCAAAATGATACAAGTTTTACTGATATGTCAATAACAATGATATTTTTTTTCTTATTGATAGTACGGTATTGATACATTCGCTTTTTATGACATAACTATGTTTATTATTTAACACAAACATATATAAACAAATTAATTAATTGTAAATATAAATACACATATTCTGTTCCGTTTAAAAATCCTTGTGCAGTGATCCTAGCATTAAATAAAACAGATTGGAAACGACATTTTGGAGGTTAAATGTGTATTGAATATAAAAACTATTCCAGAAATTATGCTTTAACGTCTCTCGTGTCAATTTTTTTTACAGAATGCCCGGTTGATAATAAAATAATAATTATTAAATTATTAGTAATAACGGGCGTATCTTATATTTAATAATACATTTTCAGTATGGATATACTCCACCGATTACGAGGCGCGACGATATTTCACTAACCTAACCTATTCTAACCTAAAAATTCAATATAACGTTCGATTTACATTCTCCTAAATTGTATTTAGCTTTGACAACGATATATACATTGTGAGCACTTGTGCATATTGTCGTAGGATTTAAAATCTTCACTAGATATTTTAATAGACAAAACTTCTGCTACAAGCCGAAAGATTTACAGCATGATAGAAGCGTCAGACAGTAAATAAGTGAGATATATGTTAAGTTGTACATAAAAAAAAAAATAGTCTCAACTGACGCAATTTTTTGATAACGAACCGTTATTTCTTTAACATTTGCATTAACAATGTAGAAGGGAGTTTCTTTCTCGAAATTTTGAACAATTTTTTACATATTTTATTCAAGAAGCATGCGATATGACTATTTTCAAAATCGATATAAACATTCTGTTGTAACCTTTAAAATGAAGCTGCTTCTTTGGACTGCCCTTTCAAGGCTAAAAGTCAAATTGATATTCAAATATTTTTAAAATAACATCGAATACAATGATCATATTCCATTCTCACTGTCACTCTTAAGTAGATCGTCATAAAAGTATAAATATATTAAAATAAATAGAACCGCTTTATGGTACAACACGTAGAATTAAGTGAAAGTTTATATTATATTTATATATATTCTACAATTTTAAAATAATAATTTCGCGTAAATTTCGTTATCGAAGCATTATTTGGCTGAAAGTTCAGGGAGTAATTTATTTCTATAATTTTATCTCCACATATATCTCTAATTCCTTATCGAATATAAATGTAACATGTAAACGGGCAGCAAATAATTAATGGTACTTTTTTGGTGTTTCCACATTATTAGTTCATTATTACCTAATACGCAACCGTAGAGCAGTCTCATAGTATTGTTATGTTGACGGCTGCTCCATGCATCTTCTACTTTACAAATCTTCGATCCTCTTTCAATCTTCACTTCTGTTCGAAAGAAACAAAAATGAAAATTCGCAGTCTTCATTTAATATTGCTTTTTTATGTGAGGGTATATCGAGCGAGTTGGCGGTTCATCTGATGTTAAGTGATAAGCGCGGCCCATGGACATCTACACCCGGGGGCGGGAGATCCAGTTACCTCGCTCACCAGACGACGCAGAAGTGTAACACTTCCGCTCCACGCCGTTATTCGTACTCCCGTGGTACTCCCCAAACGGTTCTGCCTATTCGTGCAACACAAGACTGTTGCGTGTACCACAGTAATGTTTTCGCTTTCCAATCGCAGACTACTGAAGCTTCAGAACACAGAGCTCTTGGAACCCATTCAGAACTTTATTCGGGACCTCACCTTTCGGTGTCATAAAAAATAACATCCTTATCTCAATTTTCACAACTCTATGTATTTTCACCACTTTGGTAAGGGCGTATCATTTAAGTTTATGGGCAACCATTTATGTTCCACATTCTGATTCTGTGTTAATACAAACAAAAAGTGTTTCTTAATTTAAACCAAAATACTTAAGTAGTTACAAAATCATTGCAGTGCACTGTTCCTATGACGACTTAATATTTCCTAACGGTATTATCCTTTATTTAAACGTCGTACCCATGTCATAATAAGCAACTGACAGGGGAAGTCCCGCATCAAAATTTGTTGAGTGACACGATGCTGACAAAATCGAGAGATATGGTAACAACTTACAGAACCTTTATATTTAAGGTCAACTAGTATCTAATAAGAAAATTACTGCTTTTACATGTTTGATGAAATTGTTATTGTACGTAACAGAGATCGATCTATAAAAAGATAAGTGATATAGATTCCATAATTAATACTTATTTTCAACCAGAGTAAAGCATCCTACCTCCATCACATTAACCTTCATTGCACTTAGTATGTGATTAAAAATAAATTAAACTGTTGATATTTTCAGATTTTTCTATGTCAATAGTTGGCAAGCGAGCAGGTGGTTATTTTGATAAGTGATTAGTGCCACCCATGGACATCTGCAACATCTGATGGGTTGCAGACGCATTGCCTACATTCAAAGTCAAAATTTCTTTATTCAATTTAACAGATTTTAAGCTCTTATCGAACTCTATTAGATCATCATCTATTAGAACGTCAAAATACCGATTCTCTTAACTAGAGATGTCCAGAGAAGAACCGGCAAAAAGCTCTGCGGTCTAATATAATGCGTAGCGACCATGACGAGACATATCTTGATGAAAGCTTCTCGATCAACTGCAAACTGCGCAATGGCCTTGAAATCTGCTCCACAAACTTGATGACTCAGTGGCCTAGTTGCCAAGGTAATGGCTTCAGCGTCGGGAGTCGCGTGTTCGATTCCCACACGGGACAATTATTTGTGTGAGCCCAGACGGTCGTTTCGCATCCGTGAAATTTATGTTTGTTAAGTGACTTACAGCACAGGACAATGTAATCCTAAAGTAATGGCAATGTCAAAAAAGAAAAAAAGAAACTGCAAACTGCGCAATGACCTTGACGAGATTAGGAGCAGCGACATGCCGACTTCCTCAGCACATCGTCTCCGGCCTCGAGGCGGTGGGCGGCTGCGGCTGCGAGGCGTTCTCGGCAGAGCGCTGCCGCGGCAGCTGCGAGGAGTCCAGCACTATCGACGGCCGCGGTGGCAGGTTCTCGCTGAGCATGTGCGAGAGCGAGATGTCGCTAGATGCGTTCGTTTCGCCTGGCCACGGAAACGGTACAGATACAAGAAAGACAGTGGTTGACGCGGAAAATGAGCTGTCACGGATCATGCGTCAAATCAATTATCAAAATCAAAATCAAAAATATATTTATTCACATAGACGCTTGCGCGTTCTTATGAAGTGTCAAAAATTTTACACAAAAATTAATACGTTCGTAAGTTACCACCATATATTTTTATTATATTTTTAATGTGCTAATTTATGCATAATGTATGCAAGATAATGGCGACATTTCTAGTTCGAATTGTCGTTGTAAAACGATATTTAAAATTGGTTAAATAGTTAAAAAATATAGATGGTATATTGGATTCCGGCAGCGACGAAAAACTTTTCGTCCTTTTTTCTACTATTTTCAATGAATTCTCTTATTATCAGTGTGCCTTTACGTTGGCATATATTAATTAGGATTATAGCTTGGTTCACAACGAAATTACTTTAGCCCCTTTTAACTTAACTAGAATTCTAGAATCTTACAAAAGCTTTCTCTTGCCGTAAATCTTATCATTTAATTTATAAAAGAACTAAATAAATTAAATTTTTTCGACCGTATGAATATTGCGAAAACATCAACTAAAACTCGTAGTACTTAAATGAACTAACTAAAACTCGTAGAACTTAAATGAGTGCAAATAAAATTTGCAAATGACGCTACAACTACAACGGTAGTACTACAACAGCTGTAGGTTTACAGATGCGTTGACAGCAGTGTACCTCGGTTATATCATTGAGTCGACGAAACGAAAAGTACAAACTCTTCCACCTAAGAGAGAGACCGTTGTATACCCGGTCAACCTTCATGTAATAACAGAAGTTGCTGTGTGACTGTCGCCGTAAAAACATTATAGTTTTCGACAAAAGTCTTGGTACGAGTATCGAATTTTCGCAAAACAGCCAATTATTAATATCCACCCACCCGATGGCTGTCTGGGTACTGGTAGAAGAACCTCCCCGCACGTTTCGTCCCCCAAAAGTGGATGTAGAGGTGACGGTAGCTCGCGGCTGTCGATTGCCGACGACCGCCGTAGCGAGTGCCTGTTACGGAAACGTTAAGCGAAAAATCGACGGTATGAAAAGTGATACTAAAAAGTCAACTGTCCATTTCCATTAAATACAGACTCCGACATTGAACGAAGCAGTTTCTGCGTGCGGAAGGTTCAGAAACAATCAAAAGTTTCCGGACTTCTTTTCTTTGGGACTGACTATCCAATCCCTTCCACACAAATAAAAAATTCAATACAAGACCCTTACGCCCTGACGAGGCGTGGCGTCGGTAGACCACCTGGCCCATGGGTTGACGACATCGAATGATCGCAGGAATGACTTGGATGCGATCAAGACAGTGGTAACTGATACAAGAGGAGGCCTATGTCCAGCAGTGGGCTCATAAAGGCTGACAATGATGACGGTAATTACATTTTTTTATGCGAAAACGTGGAAATCAAGCAGGTGGTTCACCTGTTGTTAAGTAATAACTGCTGCCCGTTAACATTTGCAACCTTATAATAAAGTGAGCCCCGGCTACCTCACTCTCTGGACGAAACGCAGAAGTGTAACACTTTCACTTCACGCCGGTCTCCTGTGAGCTCGTGGTACTCCCCGGACGGACCTGCCCATTCTTGCCACAGAGAACACTGTCGGGTGACCCTACCGCACTCCAGATTATCACTCGACTCTCACCTCTGATGTATCAAGCGGCGGTCGGAAACCGTGAGCAGCTGAGAGTTCTGCGACGCCCTTTTGGGCTCCTCGCTGGCGTTCACGCACACGCTGATGCTGACCGCGTTCACGCCGGCACCATCGGCTTCAGCGCCGTCCTCCTCCTCGTATCTGCCCAGTATAGACTCCATTTCTAGGCTACGGTTGAGTGACACTGCTGTACTGTTGTTTGCGTCTCACGGATGGGGAGTAAACGGCCGCTTTTTTGCGTGAAAAGTTGTCTAGGGGTCTAGCGAGCAGGTGGTACACCTCAGCCCTGTAGTCTCGGGAATAGGACTAACGTATCTCCTGCCTGTCGTAAAAGACGACTGAAAGGGCACGGATTGGCAGCATCTCGAAGTGGCCTCGAGCTGGTGCAAGATGGCGAGGGAATCGGGGAAGGTTTACCCTTCTCCGAGGCATGCTCACGCCTAGTATAGAGGGACGCCGGTGCGTTCCATAGGAGATCCGGAGTCATAGTCTTCGAAAGATACCTTCGAAGATTTCCTCCCCGATACGAAAAAAAGGGGCTCTTTGCCGAGCAGTGGGACATGTATAGGTGACACCTGGTGTTAAGATATTACCGCCATCCATGGACATCTGCAACAGCTGAGTGGTGGTGTGCGTGGACAACCTTTTAAAAGTTGGCTCAATTTACCTCACTCACCAGACGAAACGCGAATGTATAAAAATCCCGATTCACGTCGGTCGTTAAGGCAGGGGTACTTCCCCGGATGAGCCGTCTCATTTATCCGACAGTAGTATGTATGGCCCTACCACGGTAAATGCTACTTGACGTTTGTGAACTCGCCCGTCATAGCTGGGTTTCGTACCAGCTGTTCGGTTCGTTTATTTATTTGATGGGATTATTTCGCGCTATTTTATTATGATAGTGAAACGGGGGAAGAACGTTTCATATAAATTTACTCTTTTATTTGTTTGATCATGCAGAACAAAACAGAGTCAGATTAGCTTTGTTGACTGATGCCTGTTCCAGCCACAAGCGATCGATTTACGAAAAGAGCTAATCTAAATTTGAAACTGTAATGGCTGTCGTGGAGAATAGATGCCAACACAAAATACATCATTTTCATGGGCCAAGATGGAATAAGCAGCTTTAGCACAGGTCATCACTCCATCTGGGGGGTTGTCCTACGTTGCGATGGCCAGTACGAGGCTGCTACACGAGAACCTTTCTTCCCCAACGGTTATCGGTTCTACGAGCTTTTATATATTTTTTACTAGTTTCAATTAATTATAAAATGGAGGTTATATTCTCATTCTACATTCACAGAAGAAGATATTTTTACCACATGTAAAACATTCAAATCAATCTAGATCGAGAACGAAGCTTACCGCCGCTGTATAAGATTCTCCATGATGATGTAGTCGTCCTCTTCGGCTCCCCTCAAGTGCTCCTTCTCCATGAAAAGCGCAAATTCCGGGTTGGACATTTCGCTGGCGTGACGCCTCCGAAGAGTGGGTGACGCCGCTCTAGCGGGAGACAGGAGACGAGACGTTATTGGTGTCCTTGAAGGAAAGCGCAAGGTCAATGGATTGGTTCGCGGTGTTAACAGTTTAGTTAATAACAGTATTAACTGTCCGTCCAACCAGTCCAAATAAGTTTCCTTGCTAGTCAGCTAAGTTGCTTTGCTAGCAAGGAAACTTATTTGGACTGTTCTCTCTACACTTCAGAGAGATGGTAAATGGTAACTGTTACTTGTTTTGTCCATTAATTACAAAAAGGAACTTGAATATTTTGTTCCTATCTTTTGATGTTGTTACATTAAATTTAACGGGCTATCGAGCAAAATAATGAATATATGTAGAATTTTAGAGGATAGAGCATTGCCCTTTTAAATGCTTACGAGTGAACATCCCCAACGTTTAAATGAATATACGTCATGTTTTAAAGCAATTTTAATTGTCATCTGCAAAGGAAACAATTAAATGTCGGGTTGATCGTACCTTGGCGTGTGCGGTGGTGAGAACAGGCCATAGACGGTTTCCAGTTCGTCGGTTATGCTGGTATACTCGTGCATGGCCAGCAGCAAGGAGCGTGGGGCTCCACCGACCCTGGTGCGACCTGATGACACACCAGCGGCACCACCGGTCGCCTCCCAGCCCGACTGGCGACCTGAACAAACAAGTGGCGTGGATCCACGATCCAGTCTAGACTTGTTTAAACATATCATCGTTGCTACTAAAACTGTGATTCGCTTATAAGTTTTCAAAAACTTTACTAGTATCAAAAAGATATCGTAACCAAGGATTTTCTGATACATTTCGCTTTATTTTGGAATTATAATTACTTATGTGATTTTATCAATCTTTAGGTACACAATAGGGACACGCGCGTTTAAAAAATATTTTTAATCAAACAATATTTCTTTTTTCTCTAAATCTAAATGTCGCCGCATACTTTTACTTTATAATTTTTAGGGTTAAGTACTCAAAGGTTAAAAACCCTATTACTAAGGCTACGCTGTCTGCCTGTCTGTCCGTCTGGCACCAGGCTGTATCTCATGAACCGTGAGAGTTAGACAATTGAAATTTTCACAGATGATTTAGTTCTGTTGCCGCTATACCAGCAACTAAAAAACAGAATAAACAAATATTTAAGTGGGGCTCCCATATAATGGACATGATTTTTTGCCGATTTTATGGATAATGGTACGGAACCCGTCGTGCGCGAGCCCGCACTTGGCCGGTTTTTCCTCTTGACAGAACCTTAAAGTTAAGAACAGGCAAAAACGAATGTATAAGGTTATCATGCACGTAAACTTAAAAACAGTCGTTTGTTCTTACCTGTCACAGAATTGTGCAGGGAACAAGCATCCACGGCAGAGTTGTCCGGTTCAGAGTGGGTCTGACTGTGTTGCCTTCGGGGGGCCAGATGTTGGACAGAATGGTGACCACCCATGCCGCATTCGTTACCACCTTCCGACCGTCTGCCGCCACATCATTATATTAAAATTTCTAATAATGATATGATATTTACATTTCACTAACTTCTTTAAAATCTCTATAACACTGCTCAAAATTTTAAAACATTACCTGCTAGCAAAATTACACATTTATTTGAACTAAGAAAGACTAACAGTTTTTGAAAGTACTCGGAAAGTATTTAAATGTTGTGAAGATTTAAATTATCTACAAAATATATAATTAAAGTGTATTTTGAATTAGAAAATTTGATATTATAAAAAACGTGTGCAACAGAAATAAGAGTTATGTAGTTTAGAGAAAGTTTTTATTAAAATTTGTTAAGAATACGATATCAAATGATAGTGAATTTCGTTCCGTATCACATCAATATAACTAATTAAAATGACTGAGATAAAATACATACAGTGTTTTAGTAAATTAGAATTTAGATGAGAAGTAATAAATTAAAATCAATCCAATGAATTAAGATAAGAATGAATTTACATAATTTTTTAATAATACTGTGTTTAATGTTGACACGATTACTCTGTTTAATTATAAGTTCGATATAATGTATTTTAGATACACAGTAAATGACAGATACACTTTCAAAAATCCACCCACATAAATGCCAGATATAAATGCTATACACATACATACAGTTATATGCACAGATATTTTAGGATCATGAGAAATTAAAAGTGCCGCAACATGTTGAACATTACATTCAAATAACTAAGCGTGTATACCAGCTGAAAATACAAACCGTGGTGACATTTAACATACGCTACATCTAGCTACTCTCACATTGCCAAATTTACAAGCTAAGCGAATTTCCAATTGAGTCTATTTGACTTACTGTTTCCACAACCGTCTCCTAACCGATGCAAGGAAGTAACAAAAAAAATGAAATTAAAAAACTATCGTGATGATGAATTTTCTTTTAAAATCCTCAGTCGAATAAAATTTCGCCAATTCTCAGTTAACGGGGAAACAAAAAGATGTATGATAGTAAAAGGTGGCCAATGAAACTTGTGTCATGCTTTAATAATGTTTTGTAGATGAATGTCTTTAAATTTTTTCAATAATTTTGTAATCTATGTACGTTATGGTGTACAGCATGTTACAGTCCATCGAATCGAAGAAATACAATTTGTAAAGCTCTCGAGTAAGTTTAACAAAAAAATCGGTACGATAAATATTCAAGTGCTAAGAAGTATCGATATAGGATTCTTAGAAATGACAATCGTTTATTTGAAGTATGTTAGTACACTGTATAAACGAAGTAAAAATTGTGACAAATAAAGAATTTGTGTATGACAATACTTATAGCTGTAGAATTTTATTACTTTTTTACCAATTACCGTATGACTTTCCTAATGTTTAAAGCGTGTTTGTGTGTTTTATAACATCTAGTAAAGATACGCCATCAACTGCATATTCACTTAGCATTACCAACATTGTTGTTGCAATCGGATCTATACGGTTGTAAAAAAAATTGCTAACCGACTTGTAAATTGTAACAATTTACATACGTACTTCTATGATTTGATGGACAATATGTTCGCCATACGCCTATGAATATAGTAAATTATACAGCAAAGATCGTGTTCATCTAAAACTATGTTCCTAGTACGCTCGCTCGCCAAATCAACAAATAAAATATCACTTTCAGCAACTAATCAAGGGCTCGAAACAAAAATCGTTTTCTATGTATATTGTGCGAAATCCCTATTCATACTTTCATAAAGCCAAGGATGGAAAAGTTGGAGTGCTTACCGTCTAGTGTTCGCGGTGCGACGTGTTCCTGCAGACGTGGTCCTAGGCCGGAGGCTGTGGGTATCGGAGGGCACTTCTCGCACTTCCGGCAAGAATGCATCGTCCGCCGTCGACGGTACTGACACAGTGAATAAGGTCATTCCGATGAGAGCTTCCTCAAAGTCATGATGGACCATATGACAAAGTTGCTTTTATTAGTAGCACACTAAGCACCTTGATTTTATTTTTTTGAATTCACGTGCATTATGTTGTTAGGTGCAGTTTGAAGTTCACCAAAAATCAATCGGTGTAAGAACGCATGATGCTTTAGAAACATTAAGAAATAAAATTATAGTATATGAATCTGCAATTGAACCCTTTGGTTGTTTTATAAAATGGCCTAGACACAAGTGCTTTGTTATAAGTATATAATTTTATTCAGAAAATTAATTTGTTTATATGGATATCTGTATTTTTTTCAGACATGTCCGAAGAAGGACCACTGATCATTAAAATCGCGATAAAATAGAACCCTGCAGGTAGTCTGTACAATACTATTTCCTAAATTTATTACAAGTTATTTTGTCATCTAAATTCAATTTTATTAGTCTTGAAATAAATAAATTCTATACAGCATATTATGTTTACAATAGTAATAAATTTAGTGGTGGTAAAGCCACGCAGCAGCCTCGGCTGTTGCACGAATGGGCAAGCTCGTCTGGGTAAGTACCACGACCTCACAGAAGACCGGCGTAAAGTGGAAGTATGAGAAATACTTTCGCGTTTCATCTGGTGAGTGAGGTGGCCGGAGCCCAATTTCCAAAAAGGTTGTCAACGCGTCTGCAAACCTTGGGGTGTAGCAGATGTTCATGGGCGGCGGTATTCACTTAACATCAGGTGAACCGTCAGCTCGTTTGGCAACTTTTCACATAAAAAAAAGTCATAGAATTTAATTTTCTCATAACATTGTAAACAGACGAAGGTAAGTAGTTTTTTCCATCTCTTTCCTTTTAGATTCTTCTCTAGTCGTACCTTTCTTTTCATCGCTGGGCTCGGTTCTGTTGCTGTCGGATGATCTTTGGCGCGCGGGCGTCGCGGGTACTGCAGGTTTTATAACCGTCACGTCTGGGGCAGCGACACTGCCCGCCGAAGAGGTCGATATAGAATCCGCCTCCGCCTCTTTCTCAGGCGCAACTTCCGGCCCCGATTGGGGGAGCTCGTCCTATCAAATTTCGTTTGAACGGTTAACAATGGTCTGTGTATCTTGAAACAATCTATACATAATAAAGTTTAACATTATCTGTGTAACTTAAAACAATCTACTTTTATTAGCTTTACACTGCGATTTGAAAATTTCACCATTGATGGGCAGTTTTTAGAAAGAAAATGATTGAAATTGTATACTTTTCTAATACTGTAATGTCTATTTTATTCGATTTTGTGTGAGTGTAACATCAAAATAATTAATAACATTATTGACAAATTGGATTTCGATATTTTTGCTATCTACGAGTTTTATGCTAGCAATAAAAACGTAGACATTTAACGCATTCGTTAAGACACATAATAAAATAACATTAAGGCTCAATGTACAATGATATTACGCTGGGTGATAGGTAAAGCACGAACAGTTGAGTGATTAGCTTGTTAATCAGATTCATTCGATAGATGAAACAGATAAACATTCGCACATTCACGTCGAAAGCTGAATAATGGAATTTGCTGTTGCATTTATGACATCAAATGAATATTTCATCCGTATTTCTCCGTGAATTAGCTCACGTTAAAGCTACTATCTCGTCTGTAAACCGAGGGCATATATTGTTTGAGTGTTCGATATTCAGCTCTCTTTAGGATTGCGGTGCTGTCTCACGCGACACTTAGCGCTTTTCATCTGTTTATCTTATTTAAGTTTACTATTTGTTGATATAATATCTTATTTACTAGAGATTATTTTACTTTAAATTCTTGAATTGACTTATTATATTTCATATCGACCTAAAAGTATGTCAATTTTTTAATTATTATATATTCGGGTTTTATGTATAACTGTACATTTTATCTTTTTTTCGAAAACTAGTTCTACCATGTCTTCATTATAAACGAAGCAGCCAGTTTGCGATCAAGTCGCTAGGAAATTAGAGGTCCCGTCGGGGCGAAAACGTTATTATAATCTTATGGGAGGGCTTACGTCCGAGGGCTGCGAGGCTTGCTCGTCCTCCTCTTGCACAGGGCGGACGACGAATCGGGCCGCACCCGTGTCGCTGTCTGACAGCACCTGCGCCACCATTCGTGGTGACGTCACAACAACACAGGCGTGAAATGGGGGTCGCGGGCGGGTTAAGAAATGCCACACACCAAATAGCGGGGGGACATTGTTGACTTCATTTACGACACATTCGGGTCCCAAAATTCGAGAAAGAATCGAAATGGTATTTTTTTTGAATTTTACCATTTGGACTCAGTAATGCACTACAGTGTTTCCAGCTTTCGAGAGTTATGACAGATTTGAGATTGTAATGTATCTAGTAATGAAATTTTTGAAATATTGTTCATGGAATCAAAATTATTTTGATGTACCAAATAATAATATGCAGAGAAAATTAAATTAGGCAAAAAGCGGAAAGGCAATGTGTGTCCGAATGAAGTCAACAAAAACACTAAGCTTAAAAAAACAAATAGCTACAACAATTATAGTGACAAATGCTTCATATACAGTAATATCTTATATTATAACTCGAATTCATAACAATTAATTCGAATCTTTGCAATCACATCGTGCGTTCATTGGGTCATGAGATATTTAATATAGAGTTTTGATGCTGATTCAACTACAACATAGACATTTTAAAAATTGACATGCGTTTGTAAGAAAATTAAACCGCATTATTATACAAAATATAATATAACTTACTTCGAGCAATTCCACAACAATAAATGCATAAATTATAACATAACCTAACCAATCTAATCTAACCGTTCGACAAAAATAAGGATTGATTATCTTAATGTACCTGTGTTTATCAAATCGCACCATAAAATAACGCTACTATTTATTTCTTATCATATAGATCAATGTCCGAATTTAGGTATTATGCAGAAAACGGCATGATAATTGTAGGTTTACCAAATCCCTACCTCTGATCTATCACTTGCAGTCCTTAGCCTAGCACCACCAGCTTGAAATGTTGGTGGCGGCGGCCCCAGCGTGTCTGTTGAACCTCGATTCACTAACGAAGGATGGGTTGCCATGAATCGATGTATCACCGCCAAATGGTTCATAGTTTGTTCGGCTACGTCTTCTAGCTTTCTCAACCTAAATTCTACGCTCTATAAATAAAAAAATGTGTTGATATGCTTATACAATACTTTAACAGTGAAATGATCGTAATCTAAAATATATATGTGTATACATAATTTCACCTGTACAGATTGAATTTGACAATTTGCTTTCTGATTCAAATCTTCCATTTTCGTTGTTATATGTTCTACTCTGTCTGTTGTGCTTCTCACTCTTTCTTCGATTGAATTGGATAATTTAACTTCCTGCAGCAAAAAATATATTCTCATTCTCTAGTCGTCGCGAAAGTTATTTTTATCGGGTACATTTTTGAGGGAATAATATTATAATTTTCAAATCCTTTAAAAACATCGGAAAATTTTCTCATAATTTCGCGCCCTTAATAAGCATTGTTGTTGACGACAGACTGATCTGAGACAGTACCAAGATTTCTTAGAAGACCAACGTGAAAGAAGTAGATATATTTTAAAGTATTGTCTAGTGTATTAAGTAATCGGAGCCCACTTTATATAAGATGACACCACAACTGCAGCCCCCAAACTATTGTAAATGTAGCTACGGTATTCACTAAGCATTAGTCGAACTACCTGCTTGTTTGTCACTTTCTACAGCAAAAATAAAACAACTCACTTGTTCCCTGAAATAGCCTTCGACACATTCCTCCTCGAAATCATATAGCCTCTCCATATCTTCCTTTTCCAAGAATAATTTCAAACCATTGTCATATTGGAACCGCTTATGGGACACATTTCTCGTCACCCATTTACAGGTGGCATATATGTGACAGAATATGATGAGAGGAGGTGGTAACACCGGTTTCTGTTCATATTCCATGACTACAGTGAACCTTTGGAACATCCATACCTGAGAATATTTGATAAGCGTAAGTTAAGGCTACTAAAAATTTTAATATATGACAAATACTTTCGCGTTTCGTCTGGTGAGTGAGGTAGCCGGAGCCCAATTTCCAAAAAGGTGGCCAACGCATCTGCAAACCCTCGGGTGTAGCAGATGTCTATGGGCGGTGGTATTAACTTAACATCAGGTGAACCTTCTACTCGTTTGGCAACTTTTGACATTAAAAAAAAATTTACTTGAAGCTGACATTAACATAAAATTAAATTTAATTAAACATACGACAGTTCTTTTAGAAAAATTTCAATAGCAAATTTAAAGAGAGGCCCGTAAAAGATATTGAGATTATATTAAAACCTTATGAATTGAGTAATAATTTGACAATAAATTATTTTTAATGGTAACTCTTAACATAGTCAGTACACAAACATCAATTAAAATTTTAGATTAATAAAGCATTATCGGTTTATTTTGAGGCAAAATATTAATTTTTAACATAAAGCAACTTAAATTCATGCTATAAAATATTGAAACATATATCATAAATTGTATTTGCAATTTAAAAAAAAAGCGGGGAGTCAAAATTTCCAGAGAAGTTTTGAATAACAAAATAATGTAATAAAATGTCAATATTATCTTTAAAGTTTTTACGATTTGGTTTTTACTTTTCTTCTTCTAATTATCCATTTATAAAATTTAAGTCTTGAGGGAAATTCTGTACAAGAAATTATTTAATATCGTCGCATCATAGTTTTTACTAATTAGTGATGGACAATCCATTTAGATAACATAATAAAAATATATTTGAACATAATTCATGTTAAAAGCTTATTCCGAAATTGATTATTAGTACAATATTTAATGAAAAATTACATTATATGGAGCACGCTTACGTGCAATAATGATGTTAAACATTAGAAGATAAATAGAAAATATTGCTAACTTAAATAAAAGAAACGGTTAAATAATTATGCAACTGATAATTAATTTCGGAAAGGGCGCAAATAAAATAAAACAAAAAAAAGGAAACCTGATGCGAGACTTCATTGACTTCGTTAAAGATATTGTTAAAGACTGCTATGAGGAGGTTTATGAGCAAAATATTGGCCACTAGCAGGTAGATTGTCATCGCAATCGGCGTGATCCATCGGCCGGTGACGCATTTGCGGTCCGATATGTCCAGACCACAGTCGGGGTCGATGTCAGAAGCGAAAACTTCGCCGTACAACATGAAGTATGGTTGGAAGAAAATCTACAAACAATTAAGCCGGTGATAACAAAAAAAAATTAAAGAGTATAGCAAAAATCATAAAGAAGATTCGCATAAATAATTAAAAGATATAAGTAATTCGACATTATTTAACATAAATAATAGACCTCACACCTGTAAGTAAAATATTTCTAATGATTGAAACAATTCTAATACTACCTACCCTACGTACTAATTATGGGACAAGTACATTCTACGAAATACAATTACTTGGAAGAACTAACGCTAAGTAACGTAATCAAATCTCGCAACAGGCTAAATACAAGCGAAAACGACGATGGGCAAAATAAAATGGCGGTGAACGAATAGTGAGTTAGTGTTCCTGCTGCGACGTACACAACGAAAGCTAAGGTACGGTGCTCCAATCGACCGCAACACAGAGACTACGTGACGGAACATTCTGGCAGCAGACCTGGTGCGACACTCCGTTGACCTCGATGAAGATGTTATTGAAAACGGCTATGAGAAGGTTGACAAGTAAAATGTTGGCGATGAGTAGGTACACGCTCATGACAACGGGCGGCACCCAATGGCCGACCCGACACTTCTCCAGGCCGGGCAGCCCGCACGGCGGCGCCATTTGTTCGGCGAACACCTCACCGTAAAGCATGAAGTAGGGTTGGAAGAACACCTGCAAATATTTGTTAGTGTGGACATTTGCGAATTTAACGATGTACCCTGCGACCGTGTTAGTTAGCGCATGAGCACCTGTTTATTGGAACAATTAAGCTGAAGAAATAGAAGTTGACACATTGCTCGACTAGCTGTTTACATATTATAAAACAGTTTACATATCACAAAACGCTTGAAAACTATACACACATCGAATGAGTAACATGATTATACTTTTAAAGTTTTTTATAGTGCTAATCTCTTCACTTAAGATTGAACATTAAAACATGTAGAAAAAGTACGAAAAGATTGTCGCCGCTGTGAGAATCGAATCCACGTCTTCGGCATTCGCGGCCTGACGCTTTAGCCACTGAGCTAAACGGCTGATAGCCACAGCGACGAAAATCTTAACGCCTTCTTTCTACATTGTTATTTAGCATTTGAAGCAATGCTTGGCGCATCTATTGTTATATCCTTTCCAGCATACAAACAATTTCGAATATCGTTTTAAAACGATAATTCGAACGAAAGATGTCGCAATGACGCAATGCGTAAATTTGTTTTATATTAGTAGGAGTGCATATGGTGCAGGAGGAATTACATACTGATCAAAGTTCTTGCATGTCATTCACACACAAAAAACTGTGCCATCCTAAAAAATATGGATAGGGATTTAGATTTTCGTGGGAGAGTATTTTTTTAAGATGTGCACTTTTTAGTGACAACTTAACGTTCCTTTGACGAGTTTTGATACTTCTCAATCTTGAAGGTTATTAAAAATCAGAATATATTTGACTCTGCATCCAAAAATACGATATGTTCTAGTTCTCTGCGCTTTTAAAGTAAGGTTGCGAGGTGTTCATAGCATTTGAGATGTACTTACTTCTCTGATTAAATACAAACTAGCTTCCTTATCAGGGTAGAGTATAGCCTGCCGCGCCACACCAAACGACATCAGTACGACTAATAATAGCACCACGAAGTATATCATATTCTTTACCATTTTACCCATCATCGTTACCAATGGACCTAAAAGGTTTGAGATAACAATTAGTATATAATACACCTAATCTGTGTTATAGGTATTTGATTTCTATCTTCAATATTCCTATTACTAACAAAAAAAAAAAAGATATTTCGAAGATGTGTGCAGCCCATCAATCGGCAGCGGGGTCGCATGGTGAACTAAGTATCCTCTGTACCGAGGAGGCCTTTGCCCAGCAGTGGGACATTTAAAGGCTGTTACTTTACTTACATCTTTACTCATTAGAAACAGAAAACATATACGAAATATCTACCTTAGATACAACAAAATCCTGTGGGCCCAAGAGGCTCCCATTAATTTTGTGTGTATTTTATTTACATTGAAGTATACGAGTCAATGATCCATAAATATTTTAATATAAGGTAACAAAATGTCTAATGAACTCTTACCTAAATATTTATTGACACCCAAAATATTGAGTATCCTTAAATACCAATAAATTATATCTACGCAGTATATGACTCTACCGACGTCCATAGAGCTGACTCTTAGTCGTAGAGTTAGACCGACGAGGAAAAATATAATGAAGCCTGCGTCGTAAATGTTCCACATATTCCACGCCCACACACTGAACTTATGTCTGAGAAACAATAAACATAATATATTCCTTTTAATGGACAATCACTACGTTTGTATGGTGGTATGCCCTCACCATACCGAAAACTAGATAGAATGTAGAATTTTAATGAAATTAAGATCTATATCTATAATTTTAACTTTTTCAAATGTAATTCAAAGTTATTTAACTAAACCGTTATCATTTGCATTTAATGTCTTTTTCAAACAAACAGAAAGTACTGGAACGGGGGAAAAATTTTAGTTATTTTTCTTTTGCTACGTTAAATAAGTATAACTTTTACGTGCGTAGATTACATTAATTACACAGTACATTAATTTATTTATAATTTTCACACATGATGTATTTTTTTTCTTTCATGTAAACCTGCAGTTATTTGTGTAATCACATAATCAGTCGATTAACTTCTGACTGCAAGAAAATAGTAAAGCTATTGAAAAATTATTTTGAATCTATTTTAATTTATTCATTTATTAATTGAAATTGTAAATTTCATAATGTATCACCACACCCATAGATAACTGTTTCAGATCTGAGTGTTTGTACATCAGACATAAAGTGCATTTACTTACAAACACGGGGTGTTATTTTTCAGTACGGTCATTGTTTTTTATTAAACATTAAGACCCAGGAAAACTATGGAGATATAAAAAAGGCAAATAGTTAAAGACGTCAAACGAAGCTCTTAGTTGATAGATATAACTGTAAAGGACTAAGAAAACCAAGGAATAGTATTGGTGATTACGAAATATTATTCGTGCCAATAGTAAATAAAAACCAAAGGTACTTTGTAAAGTTGTTGACTCACCTAATAGCAACTGGTTCGGACGTAATAATTTCCCTTATCTTCTCACATAAGAACGTTAAAATATAACATATAGAGTAAATCTCTGGCCACGATGGCGTCAGGTCCATCTTGACTAATACTGTATATGTAAACATCAGAAGGAACAGAATATAGGCGATCTGCAACAATTTAGTAATTGTTCTTAATCTATCTGTCCAATTAATAACATCGATTGGGCGATACTAGAATGGTTACATCCTCGACTATTATGATTGACCTCCACAAGGTTCTGTATTCGTGATCTTGTCGTAAGACGGTGGTAGGGCCACGCAGCAGCCTCGGCTGTTGCAGCAATGGGCAGGCCCGTCCGGGTAAGTACCACGACCTCATAGAAGACCAGCGTAAAGTGGAAGTATGACAAATACTTTCGCGTCTCGTCTGGTGAGTGAGGTAGCCGGAGTCCAATTTTCAAAAGGTTGTCAACGCATCTGTAACCCTCGGGTGTGGCAGATGTTCATGGGCGGCGGTATTCACTTAACATCAGGTGAACCGTCTGCTCGTTTGACAACTTTTCACATAAAAAAAAGCAATATTGATTGTGACATCTGTTTACTTTTCGTAGTTTTTGTCAACATAGCAACCGAGCGGGTTCGGTCCCTGCCATGTGGACATCCATAATGACCATAGGATTGAAGCTGCGTTAGTAATCTATATACAAGAGGATCCAAGTCATGTCAGTCGAAATTTAAAAGTACAAGTACTCTACTATTTACGCTGGACCATAAATCTGTGGTCAACAACTGAAGAAGGTGCATGAATCCACCTCAGTTTTAGATGTTTTTAGAGATGTAAAGGATATTCATTTAACTACTATTAATGTAGTTAGTAAAGTATATTCTAAATTTGTATCACCTTGAATAGGTGATACAAATTAGTTAGTTAAGAAGGATATTAAAGGCTCTCTTAACACATGAAATGAGCGCCTGGTATATATATGTAATAACGACATACGAAGCAAATAAAAACACATCAGCAACGTAGTAGGGGTTTAACACAATCGCCCGTGTAATGACTATGCGTCCTCAAAACTTTGTTTTTATATTCCCTGTAAACGACGTGAACTTTACTTTGATAAAATATTGTACCCTCGTTAGCTTAAACAACGCTGTTCTACTTTTAAAAATTAATTAACGCCAGCCCGTCGTAACACGTATACAAAATAATTAAAGTAAAGTAAAAAAAAACTTAACAACTTTGCTGTAAAGAAATTTTCCACAGCGATATCTATACGCAAGGAACTACAGAAATCACTTCGTACTATCTGAAGTACTAAGTCTAAATTTATTAGTAAAACTTAAACATTAAACACGTGCTTATAGGTTGTTTTCAGAACCCTAAAAACAATCGTACCCAAAGGGTAAAACGGGACCCTATTACTAACACTCCGCTGTCTGTCATCAGGCTGTATCTCATGAACCGTGATAGTAGGTAGACATGATTTAGTATAAAACACGGTCTATTTATGATTTTACATTTATTTATTACTAGCGATTCGCCCCGGCTTCGCACGGGTGCAATGTATTAAACGTATAAACCTTCCTCTCAATCACTCTATCAGAAAAATGCCTCATCGAGATCCGTTGCGTACTTTTAAAGATCTAAGCATACATCGGGACAGACAGACAGCGGGACGACTTTCTTTTATACTGTGTAGTGATGCCGCCACTTTTTTCAATTCGGATTAATTTTTGGAAATCGTGTGGAGTGTTACATTAATGCTTAGATTGTATCCGCATTTCGTCATACTGAATTTAATAGATAAAGTGTCGAACAGTTGTAGAATGCGCCAGGGTTAGAGCCTTCTGTTTAACGCATTCAGATTCTCTTGCTTTTAGCTAAACTCAACATCCATATACATATCTTTTTTTGTTGCAACATAGGTGTATGTATGTGCCGAAACTTTACAATAACATTTTATAATTTTTTTTTGATATTCGTTTTTCTGCACCACTTAATTGGGTCCCGTCCCTACCGTCCGTGAACCCAGTTTTAGTCCTTTAAATTCAGTTGTTTATATACAGGATAAAACTTTTATTGTGTTATAATAATAAGTTATTATAATACTTGCGGGTCATTATTATAACTAAAGAAATTGAAAAAAAAAATTATTTTGACTATAACAAATAAAGATTCAGCTTTAGGGCCATGTAGCAGTTCGCTATCGCACGAATGGGCGGCAGGTCCGTCCTGGTAAGTACCACGATCTCACAGAAGACCGGCGTGAATGGAAGTGTTATACTTTTGAGTTTCGTCTGGTGCGTGAGGTAGCCGGGGCCCAATTTATTAAAAGATGGCAACGCATCTGCAACCCTTCTGTGGTTGCAAATGTCCATGGTCTTAAAAACAGGTCTACCGCTAGCTAGATTGTCACCTTTTAACATTAAAGGAATAATAATAACAAAGATAGATACTAACGGAGTCGGCCCAAAACTTCGTGATCGGCGCGGTGAAGAACTCGTAGATCTTCTTCCTGAGCCGCAGAGGCCTCATCCGCTTGTCCTCGGGCGCGTGGTATTCAGGTAGCTCCCTGTACGAGGGCTCCCACCCTATTTTACCAACTTTCCCATTCTGATCGACACGTGTGTCGCATTCGGCCCCTGAGCCAATCAACGCCTGCTTGAGTCCAGACAAAATCGTACAAACGTTATCACGGTGTGTTCAAAGGGTCGAAACAGAAAGAGGCGGCACAGAAATCATCGTGACTACGGATCCCAAAGGCTTAGTAGTGTTAGATAGGTTCGTAAATAAGCGGGTAAGTGATGATACTGTTAAATTTCGGTGGCTGATAGAAACATGTGTTTAAAATTAAGTCAAAGCATTATGTGAAGCTTTGAAATTAAACACACAAATATAACATAGAAGCCAATGTCAGTGCTGAAATTACTTTCACAATATTGCAATGTTTTAAATATATTATAAGAGGTAAGTTTGAATAAGCTGTCAGCATATAATAAAACATAGCCTTAGCACACGAAAGCATTATTCCGACAAACAGTAAATATAACAATAGCAAATGATTTGAGGAAATAAAGAATCTTAACTTCCATAGCGATTAAGATCGTCGCAATTTCCGATTGTGTATAACATCAGAGCTCACAGAAATATATATATAGTTTTAACATCAATTAAATAAAAAGTCCGTAACGAATCATTAACGTGATACACAAACGGACAAGAGAACATTTTAGTGTTGAGAAGTTATAGGAATTATAAATTCAAAGACGCAATTCTACTCGCCAACAGAAGCTGTAAAGGAATATTTGAGGCACTTGCTTGCTGTGAATGCATACGAACACAATTTTGCCGTGAGCACCTTTGTACATAAAATTGCAAGAACAACATTTTCCCAATAAATAAGATTCGATATAAATAATACACAAAAAATTAATATTCATTCTCATTTTTTTTTGTTTAGTTACCCAGTAACTTTAAAATTGTTTGAAACTTTTTTTTCATACTCAACAGCATCATATGAGTCAAAATAAAATTAGAGAAGCGTTGACTCAACAAAGAGAACTCAAAAAACAGATAAAATGAAAAGAGAATAAAGAAAAAATTGACATTGATGACTTGGTAATTGCTCCCACCTTGAAGAAAATTAGACTATGTCTGCATCTTTGTATGCAGAGAATCACATTTTTGCCCCAAGCAGACAACAGAAATAAACAACTCAATGGAAACCAATGGATATAAAGAAAATTATGAAATCACGACACAATTTATTGAACCAAAGGCTAGGTGTGAAGCTTAAACTTGGTGCATTTTTGTGTTCGTATCACACGGATACATAGTAAAGGCAGAAAGTGGCCCTGCGGACGGCTACCTTAGTGGGTTTACCCTGCTGCCCCGGGGGAATTATCTTCTTGATAGAAAGCGTGCGCCGTTTCGTGACGCCAACCTACGTACGTAATATCAACTTTACTGACACATATTTGCCTCTAGTAACACTGCTTCTAGGGGATTCGCACGCTACGGTTCTTTCCAAATAATCTATAGTCTATGTAAGAGCTGACTATAAACTCTTAAATATGCTTTAAGTAAAGAGTATCTGCTTTTTCTTTCCATGATTTCAGTATCGACAAACGTTTTAAATCCAACATGAATCTATGAAGAGTTTGAAGAATTTTTTTAACAAACTAACAGTTGCAATATTTCCCTTCGATCACTGAAAGCGCTGGAAATTAACATTACAGTGTGTGTTGCGAATGAATAAATGTGTATATAGTGAGTAAAGTCTCCCTGTCACCATAACTTAGCGTGAGCAAGCTGAATGGGAAGCAACTAAACCCGAAACTTTACCTCGGCGTCGTTAGGGTCCTTGGTGCTCCTATCGTCTTCCATACTCTCGTTTTCCATGTGCTCTTCCTCTGTCTGCGGCATCAGCTGAAGTTCCTCCTTCGACTTGAACTCCAGTTGAAGAATGTACAGCGGACACAGCAGGCTCAGAATTACCTTCAGACATGACGACAAAGCCGATGTGGCAAACGAAACGCTGCTCGGTCGATGCTAACTAAATCACTTTGACTCAAGCGTTACATGCTACGTTCAGCTAATCGAAAGTCTCCTTGACGCCGACCATTCCATTTTCAGCTCTAGCCGCGCGTGAATAGGGGCCGGTTTCGATCGAATGGTCGTCGTCGCGAGACATATGCAACGCATGCGTCTCTGTCTCGGAAGCTCATTGACACATAGACAACTAGAGCACGTGAGATTCATCACGATCGGTAACACGTTAAAAGTTAATCGCTAACATTACCTCTACGACGTGCCAATGACGACAGGTCTGTGCATTGATAAGGTGAACGGAGAAAGAGAAATGAAGGTTGCTGTGTGATTTTATTGGCGCTCACCTTGAGGTTGGTGTTCTTCCTCGTCCTCAGGCCTCCCATCCAGAGGTCTGCGAGTATGATCTGAGAGCAAGGGTGAGCGAGGAGGGCGCGGTGGTTCGCGGCGACTGCGAGGCTCAGACAAGTCTGGCCGGACCAGTTCTGCAGTTCGCAAGTCAGCAGCTGCTGAGCTTGGTCGTCATCCTGACGGTAGCAATAGTCCAAGAGCTCCAGCGCTGTAAAAGCGCGCTCAGACTGTCAATTTGTCAAGGCGATCGTTGATTGTATCTACTTTCGTTATATTATTCGATTGTTTTACCGCAGCATCTATATCGTCTAATACCATTAAACGCATAGATGGTGTAGTGCCTACCACGTTACAATACTTTTTGAGGTCGCGAATTCAATCTTCAGTACTATGTAACAGTGATTTCTTCGCTTTTTCATTTTCTTATATACAAAAACAAATATCTCGCATACCTATCCATTATCAGGTTAAATCCGAGGAAAGTTATTTAGCGTTCATATTTGTTTATCCCGCAAGGGATTTTGTTAATATGTTATCAATCAAAAATCTTTATTCAAATAGACGCTTGCGCGTTCTTATGAATCGTCAAATTTTACATAAAACATTATACATAGAGGTTCGTAAGGTACCACCGGTTCGGAAAGCAGTTTCTGTTGAGAAGAGACCGGCAAGAAACTCAACAGTTGCTCTTTTTCAAAGATATCAGTTTACAATATAAAACACCGGTATAATAGTCTTATTCTACCCTCCGTGAGTATCAACAGTATTTGGTGCGCGATTTAAAAGTATCGTTATAAGAAGATAGGAGAAAGTCAACCATTGATCTATAAGAATCATTAGGGTTATTGCCTCCCATATCTTTATTTAACATATGATGTGCCACTTTATCCCTAAAAGAATTTATTCTATTAGTAGTGACTAGCCTACACTTGATCTTATGTTTGGTTGTATTAACTTATTCATTTATTGAAAATTTTTGACCAAAGTGATCAGAGCTCAGATGATTTATAATACATTTATCATATACATAAAAAAAAAGTAAAATTAACAGCCTATAAATGTCCCACTGCTGGGCAAAGGCCTCCTCTATATAGAGGGTATCAGGGCACAGTCCACCACGCGGCCCCACTGCGGATTGGCGGACTTCACATATCTTCGAAATATTTTTTTGTTATTATTTCGAAAATATGCAGGTTTCCTCACGATGTTTTCCTTCACCGCGGAGCACGTGATAAGTCAGCACTTAAAGTCCCCAAAACTTCATTGGTGCCGGCACCGGGGATCGAACTCAGGTTGGGATAAGTTAGTAAAAGAGGTTCATAAAAAGATTGGAAGATGAAATGCATTGAATAAATTTAAATTCGTTTTAAGTTAGTTACTTGTAATGTAAGTCCACATTAAATTCCCCATTATTAATAATGTCTGATTTACTACAGAGTTTTTTAAGAACGTCATCCCCATGGATAGTAAACTGATCGAAATCACATGAGGATTTAGGGGTGGGGGGTGGGGGGGGGGGGGGGGGGGGGGCTTTGGGGGGGCGGGGGGGGGGGTGGGGGGGGGGTTGTTTGTGGCTGGGGGCGGCCGGGTGCGTTTAATGTCAGATTTTGTTTTTCCTATGTAAGCAAAGAGGAACCTGTGAACAAATGACGTACATATTATAAATTTTCACGTTTCGTCTTGTGATGTGAGGTAGCCCGTAATAGCCCATTTTCAAAAGGTCCTGTTTCCAACAGCATGAACTATAACCCCGAGTGAAGTAGATACCATAGGGCGGCGGTCATTCACTTAATGTCAAGATTTTGTTTATATTATTCTGGAAACTGGCACCTGGTGAACATATGTCACATAAAAAAAAAAAAAAATGTTTTGAAAGTAGTGAACTAAAACCTTGTCCTATGTTGTCTGATATAATTATAACCTTTTGTTTATTATGTAATTTATTTTCATAATTATTATATAATGACTTATTGTGTTTGTTATGTATGACCAAGTTACTTCATATGTCTGCGGATGTATTTTGAGTTTTTAATGTAGTTGGAGATTGTAATTTTGAGCAACAACATGGACTTTTGCTTGTATGATTCAAATCTATCAAAATTATAATTACAAAGATCTAACAGATTATCAGCTGCTAAAATATGTTCTTGTATTTGTTTTTGTGACGATTCATATTTAGCAGTTAATGTTTGCAAGGTACTATTTAAGTTATTAATTTCAGTTCGAAGCTGAAGTGTTTAACGCTGCTTTTAAATAAAGTGTAAATTAAAACTTTTAAGAAATTTAAAGCTCTATAAGGTCGTAAATAATTACAACTAAGAAAGCATATATATTTATAAAGTAATAGTGTGATGTAACTTTTTACAAAATTACTATTCTTTAAAAATAACATTTCTTTTGGCAATAAATCGAGCAGATCTTCAAACTCTGATCTCTAAAAAGAAAAGAAAACTGTACATCACTGTACTTACCTTTCGTTTCAAATTCTTTTCCGTAATGCCTCAACTCCTCGTATACTTCTGTTTCCATATCATCCTCTGCAGCTTCGTGTGCCATTGCCTTGTATAGCTTACAGGCAACCAGAGATTTGGCCAGAGCCTCTTCGCCATGAGTCCACATTAGCAGCGCCATCTGGTGTCGCTTAGTTAACACTGCCCACATCTAAAGGTAAGGTGAGTTTGCAGGTGTAGGTAATGGAGATCATTTTAATGGCATAATGTGGTAGAGCCACGCAACAGTATTTTTTGTTGCCTTTTTTGTTGCACGAATGGGCAGGTCCAGCCTGGTAAGTACCTCACAGAAGACCGACGTGATGTGAAAGTGTTACACTTTTGCGTTTCGTCTGATGAGTAAGGTTGACGGGGCCTGGCACCAATAAATTGTTAATTTTAAGTGCTGATATATCACGGCAGTGAAAAGTTATTAACAAAAATATTTTCAAGTTATGTAAAGTTCGCGAAAGTGGGGTTGCGTGGTGGACTACGCCCTCTGTATACAGAGGAGGCCTTTGTCCAGCAGTTGCATATATAGACTTATGTAGACGGGATATAGAGACTATCTTATGGGGTCGCTTTTTCATGAAAGAGAGTTGTGTCGCCTCACTCATCAGATGAAATAAAAATGCATAAATATTTCTACTCCCGGTCCCCTGTTCGAGTATCATGGACAAGGCGGCCGATTCACGCAAGGGTGCACGATTAATCGATGTAAATTAAAATAACAAGCATATAACGTGTCTCACAGCTGAGCAATGGTCTCTGCTATTTAGTTATAGTCCACCGTATATGTCAATCGCGGATTGGCAGACTCCACATATCTTTGAAATATTTTTTATAATTTTCCTGTAGGTTTCCTCACAGTGTTTTCCTTAACAGATGAGCACTTGACGGTCAGCATCTCTGTATATGAAGAGCCGTGATGCTTCACCGTCCGGGCGTCGCTTTCAATTCAATATGGTCGATCAACTAGAGTTCAATTCCAGTTACCACAGCAATGAATGGATGGTAATGTTAAACTACTGAGTTCCACTTACGAGCAGCTCGTTGAAGGGATAGTCGAAGAGGGCCATCTCTGACGTCACGGGCATGAAGCCGGTGATGAGGGACAGACCTCCGGCGTTGTGCCGCGTGAATGACGCGCTGTTCCGGTGCACGTTGACGCTCTTGTTCATGACCTTGGCGTAGATCGGACGGAACTTCCGCCGGGTGTAGTAGCACCTTTATATTTATACAAAATCATGTAGGTGGGCACGATGGGACTGACATGCATATTACGCAAAAGTCCCTTAAACATAAAGAAATAAAAAAAAAATCATGTAGAATTCAGCACACTCATTGGCTGTAATTTATAAAGGGGATAGTAATGACAAACAAGTACTTTGAATGAAATTGATATGGGACAATATGGGAGCTAAACTGAATCCAATGCATAAAGAATTTTTCAAATTCGGTTCAAAAATGACCGTATACGGAGTTAACGAACACATACAAAGATTGCAATGATAAAGTGTGAAATTACTTAATTTGTACAGCAAATAAGTTTTTTTCGTCGATATAGGACATGACATGCAGGGACGTACTTTAGAGTAGTTTTGTGTAACATAAAATCAATACCGGTACAATTTATTATTAATTAGGTAATCATTTCACTTCAACATTTTTAGCTAAAGTTGTTGTTAAACGCTCTTGTATAACATCTAAGTGTTGTAAAATCGCTCCAATGCTAATTACCGATTCGATATAGCGAATTGTGTACACAGTTTCACATCAGCACTCACCTGTACGCGCCGCCCATGAGCTTGTTAATAACTAGGCCAATGTCGTGTAGGGTGTACACGTAGCCCCTGGGTAGATGCGGCCTCACGTCCCTCAGTATGTAGCGCAGGGTGTTACTTGGGCCGCTCTTCGTATTGTAAAGCTCCTCCAGCCGCGGGATGGTGAGGAACTTCCTCATGGACACGCCATTCTCCAGAAGCAGCTTAACGAAATCTATTCGGTCGTGCTCTAAAGCTTGCATCATCGCCTCGTCCAGAGCCCCTGTACACACACGCAAACAGTCATTCGCTATCGTTTTCTTTTAAGCGAGAACTGAAATGAAGAGAGTTGGTAGGTCACCTGACGTTAAGTTAACGACACATGGGTGTCTGCAACACTTGGTTGCAAACGTATTGCCACCTTTTAATAAAGTGGGTTACCCCACTCGCCAGACGCAATGCACAAGCATAATACTTTCACTTCACGCCGGTCTTCTGTTCGGTCGTATCCTACCAGACGGACTCTACCAATCCGTGTAACGGCGAAGACTGCTACGACCCGCCTAGACATAAACCTTCCACTTGAATCACTCTATCTGTTGCTGAAAACCGTATTAAAATCCATTGGGTACTTTAAAAGATCTAAGCGTACAAACAGCGGGAGCAACTTTGTTTTATACTATGTAAAGATATTTATGGGTAAAATTGCAATTTATATTATATGACCGGTTAAAGACCACTTTAAAAACGGAGGGTCGATTCAAATTCACCATTCAACATCAACAAGCTGCTATTATTCTAAAAGTACCCTTTTAATAATAAATCTTCTTTTCATTCAAACGAGGTCATAATTTTTTTGCTATCGCATATAGAATTACGACTCGAAATCTTTGTTTATTTGAACACCATATTTGAAATTTACCTTATTACACAAACAATGGAAACAATTGGACCGAAAAGGTAAATATAAAAAGGCTCTTTATATTTAAATATTAAACGCAAACTGGAACAAAAGGACGTGTATTTGATCACATTTTAATATTCTCCCATTAAACCTATTTTCAGCGGCGAGCTATTCGGAAATTTATAAAACAGCGAGATGTGAATATTATATATGTCCCACTGCTGGGTAAAGGCCTCTATACGAAGGCTATTAGGGAATAGTCCACCACGATGCCCCACTGCGGATTGACACATATCTTCGAAATATTTTTTTTGTTCTTATTTCTAAAACATGCTAGTTTCCTCACGATGATATTATTCACCGCTGAGCACGTTACAAGTCAGCACTTAAAATTAACAATTTCATTGGTGCCGGCACGGGGGATCGAAGTCAGGTAGCTCGAGTAAATTGAATTAAAGGCGAGCACACTGAATTATCAGGGCTCTTTAGCTATCACAGATATTTTATAATTGATAAACAATTTGTACAACATATTGTTAAACGAATTTTTTTTACAGATTTTGTCGTATTTAGGTTTCATTTTGATTGTAATAAAACTCCTTTTACCGTCCACGGTAAATCTTAATACTATTAAGACTTACCGTGGACGGTAATCTTAATAGTATTTTGCGAATTTCATTGTTTTGTATTTTGGATGAGAGATGGCACTGTGCCGTTTTTGCATCGCGGTATTGTTAACTTGCCCACGTGAAAGCTGCGGCAATATTGGTCATATTGGATCGGGTTAAATAGTATATCGCAATCAGAAATAAACAAACGTTATATAATGTACTCATTTTATCGTATCTATAATATATGACGAGCTTCAGATACCATTTGAAAAATAGTAGTAAAACAATCAAGACTGTTTTGGCAATCTGTTTTACGTTAAGTCATTAAAGTGTGATAGTTGCCTAAAATGATGAATGGAAATAGAGTATTGTGTTAAGGGTATTTATAATTTATTTGCTTCTGACTTGCACCATCTGCTTTCAATCAAAAAAATTAATAATGTGCGGCTCGAATGGGCAGGTCCGTCCGGGTAAGTACCACAAGTGGAAGTGTTATACGTCTGCGTTTCGTCTAGTGAGTGCACAGCCGGAGCCCACTTTTATAAAAGGTGGCAACGCATCTGCAACCCTATGGGTACTGCAATTCTCAATGGGTGGCGCTTAACAGCATCAGGTGAACCGCGAGCTCTTGCCGTCTCCTCACATCGAAAAAGATAAACAATTTTTAAACTAAACTGTAATAAAACCTTAATTCCAGATAATAAATGTGTCATTTATTTATTTATTTATACTTTATTGCAATTACCTTAAACAAGGATTACAAAGGGCGAACTTAATGCCTTTAGGCATTCTCTCCCAGTCAACCCGGGGCGTGGAGATAAATTGTAGTAGGTGCAATAAAAAGAAGAAAAAAAAACAAGTACATTACTAATGTGAATGAAATATACAGTGTATGGAATATACACACGCTTAAATAAATATAAATACTTACATACATATACAAAATAAATATATATACAAATATACACATACATATTATATATAAAACACTAACAAATATACATAAATACAAACATATAAACGATATTGAAATAATGATGAAATTTAACATTCAGATTTTAAGTAAAATTCGCGGACTTTGCGTTTGAATGAGGCCTTGCAAGGTGCACTACATATAATATGTTAATTGAAACTTCCTTATATCACATTAAGATGTTATTCTGTATTGGGCGACATTTTTAAAGATGTAGACAAAAAAAAGACTTACCCGGAGGCCATTCTTGACCGTACACGAAGATTTCCGACCTGGCGATGTCCACTCTGTTCCAGGTCAGGGCAAGGGAGAGCTGCTCGCTTGGTGACAGGTGCTGTGCTCTGAACAGCGCAGTCAGTATGACCTGGTCCAGCTCTTGGACTTCGCCACCTTCGGCCCTCTCTTGAATCCTGAAGACGGTGATCTGTGTACAAAAGCAACATAAACTTTTATACGTTTACTGGTATTATATTCTAGTTCCCGGAGGACCGGTTTTTTTTGTAAATTACGTATTTTGGAAATAAAAAAAAATTAAAAATAAAGAAAAAGATCTGGTATAGAAAAGAAAAAGTAAAAAAAATAAGTGTGTAAATGATCGTGATACGAACCACGGCCGTCTGTTTTGGGGCCGCCCGATTACCGACCGAGCTATTATAACATTTTATTTTGCGGCGAAATTTACTGTCATATTCGAATGATATTTTTCATTCCCTGAAAACAGGGATAAAAGGCCATTTTCTAAAAATAGAACCTAGCTAGATCGTTTTTTCGCCCCCGAATCTACGCACATACTAAATTTCATGAAAATCGCTGATTCCGAGATTCCGATTATATATATATATATATATATATATATATATATATATATATATATATATATATACAAGAATTGCTCGTTTAAAGGATAAGAGATATGTGTTGGTGCCGGTGACCAAATATTTAGCTATATTTATATTTAATATTGTTTCTTATACGAGAGAGATTATGATTTAACTGAGGGCAAGATTACCACCGTACACCTGCAATGCTGGATTACTGGTGCTGTTAATAACTTTACAGACGGTGGGTCTTATGATTTAACTGAGGGCAAGATTACCACCGTACACCTGCAATGCTGGATTACTGGTGCTGTTAATAACTTTACAGACGGTGGGTCACCGTTACGTGAGTAGTTAGAGTTAACCAGAAAAAAAAAGCTCTGCAACAGTCTTCGCTGTTGCAAGAATGGACAAGTGAGTCCGGGGAAATACCACGACCAGAAGACCGGCGTGAAGTACAAGTGTTATACTTCTGGTGGCATTTGTACATTTTACATTTTTTTCTGGTAAGTGAGGTATACGGAGTCCAGTTTAATAAAACGACAACGCATTTGCTAATTAGCAAATGTCAAATCTCTGTATGATTTATCTGTAAACTAATAAAGACACGCAGGAGCCACTACTGTTTTAATGCAACGTTATCATTTTGGCAACTCAAACCATTTGACAGTTTAGAAGGCATTTGACAGTTTAGAAGGCATTTGACAGCTGATTTATTAATTTCTACGATGATTACGCCCGGTTTCTGAATGGATTTCAAATTACAATTTAGGTGCCAAAAGGATGGTTAAATTCTCTGAATTGACCAGAATGATCTTCTTTATGATCAGAATGATCAATTCAAAGAGTACATGAGTAAAGTACATGATGCAATTGGAAATGTTATATACAGTTTTAATCTTCTTTCGCGTTCCATCAGGTTTGATTAACGCAGCTTGGGTTGGTGAAGTATATTTGTGCCACAAAGGGCTCTAACGGAAACTCGTTCCATCCTCAATAAATATCTTCGTGATATACCTTTTCCTCTTTTCAAAGGCGAAAGACAATATCCGCGAGATAATATCCGCTTAACAATTTGAAAGAAAAGAAGTATTTTATTGCAAATATAAATTTATACGACAATTTTATACGACAAATAGAATTTTTACGTGTACAGTAAATGTGATGAGTGAAAAGTTCACTCGCTTTTATACAGCTGCAGAATTTTACGCGTCTTTACTGCAGAATTTTACATTCGCTTAACAATATAAGGCGGTCCTTTGCAGGAATCTTGAGAGTGCAATAGTATATACGTCGTATATTTTTAATATTTGCTTACAATGTTCATGTTGTCTGAATTTGCCAATTTGAAATTGATGCCATTAATTAGAGTGTCGAGTCTAACACCGTAGCAGGTGATATAATAGACGTATATACCTATCTTATATCGGTTATATTGATTTCTTGTTTATAGGTACGCGTATATTAAACGTGATTAAATGAAACTTTTTACGGATTTTATTTTACGCGCCGAGATTTAAAAATCAAAATAATAACGCAATAATATTCGTAAAATAGTTCCGTTTAATCATGTAATGACGGGTCGGTTATGTTTTTCCCTTAAGAGCTCGTTGCAAACAGAATCTGCTTCTTAATATATCTATCTATCTATACATGACTCATCACGATATCTCTGGAACCGTAAGGCGTAGAGACTTGAAATTTGTTAGGAATATTCCTTTCGCCTAATGGAAGTCATCTAAGTAACGGATTTTGCGAAATTCCATAAAACAACGTTTGCCGGATCAGCTAGTATAAGATAAAGAGGCTGACAACGAGTGTAACTATGCCAGCTGCGGTGCTCACCAAGTTTTTTTTCCTCGTGCACTGCAGCAGTTCGCTGTAGAGGCACTCCGCCTGCTGCAGCCCCACCTCGAAGGTCTTCTGGATGGTCCCGATGAGGTAGTCCCGCATTGATTCTAGGACCGTCTGCTCCCCGGTCTCCGATGCATACCTTGATTAGAACACCGAAGATAATTAAAATTGTATAACAAATGAATGAATGCAATCTATTATTCATATAAACAGTTAGTTTTTACATAAGGAATTGGCCGTGGACCATTTCCCCTAGATATATCTAAATTTGTTATAACACTTTATAGTTTTAGCACGTCGACATGACCGTGAACATTTAGATTACATAATTCCAGAGCCTTAAGAAGACACGTCTATTCAGCAAGGTAACTGTAGGCCTATGTGGGCGGTAGTCCTCATAACTTTACTACAATACAGTTACTTACCAGTGTGTTGCAATATTTCCAATTGAGATAAGTCATACTGCTGCCACAGGACGCAAATTTACACAAGAAGACCTTTTAATAAAGTGGGTCCAGGTGTCTCATTGACCAGACGAAAGTAAATATTTGCAGAAGTATAACTCTTCCACTTGACAACGGTCTGCCGTGAGGTCGTGGTACTTCCCAAGACATACCTGCCCATTACCCCAACAACGAAGCCCGCGTTGTACAACCACAATAAAAATGACAGAGGTATTAGCTCATATGGGGCATGGATGTGCAGGTCCATCCGGGTAAGTACAACGACCTCACTGAAGACCGGCGTATAGTAGAAGTACCTTTCTGCGTTTCGTCTGGTGAGTGAGGTAGCTGGGGCCGCTTTGTTTAAAGGTGGCAATATCTTTGCAGCCCTACGGGAGTTGCAAATGTCCATGGGTGGTGGTTACTTTACATCAGCCGAACCGCCACAACGTTTGCCACTTTCCCACATAAAAATATACATCGAGTATGCACACTCGGGCGATGCGGCGTGCGCAAGTTAGTATAGTCTTAAGCAGTTCGAAGTACTTGTGGACGAAGGCGATGAGGTCCGCCGCTCTGCCGCTGCCGTCGCACACCACGACGGGGACGGGCGGTGTGTCGGTGACGTACTCCAACACCGCGCGCACAGTGTTCGTGCCGCCTTCGATGACCAGGCACACGACCGGCGTGGACGAGTGTGTGTCTGTTGCAAAGTGGACGTCATCATCGTCATCATCATCATCATCATCATTTCGGCCTGTTCCAGTCCACTGCTGAACATGGGCCTCCCCCACGGCCCGCCACGAAGCGCGATCGCACACTTGCACAGGCAATAATGACAGGGTGGACCTGATGATTACTAATAGCGAAATAATAAAGGCGAAAGTTTGCATGTATGGATGGATGTTTGTTACTCCTTCACGCAAATACTGCTGAATGGATTTTAATGGAACTTTACAATAATATGGCTCGTACGCCAGAATAAGACATAGGCTATAATTTATATACATATTTTTATGTATATCTGGCTTTCCGTCTGAATGTTACGCCTTCAGCCTATTCTACGCAGACGTAATCGCGGGCAACAGCTAGTATACAATAATTTAGGACTACAGCTAGAAACTCTAACGACCCTTTTAGTATATTACTTAATAGATAATTTTCTTTCAAATCAAATCGTTTTCAAATCTTTCTAAATAAAACTGCACACTTTTGTAAGATTATTTTATACGTTTAATCACGTTGGATTTCTTATCAAATACTTCTTGGGTATTAAATGCTTAGGAATTGTAACTGGTAATTCTCCTCCATATTGCCAATTAGAAAACGTAAACTTTGGCAAAGACAGAGAACTCTTCCGGAATTTAGAAACAGTTAAACTACTTTTACATTAAATGCCATTGAAATTGGAAACGCAAATAGAAAGTGCTAATTATCTCGGGCAAACTAAAGGAAACGTTGCACACGCAAATTAGGTCAAACGACGGAGTTCTGAAGTAAAAAAGATAAAGGGAAAAATACAGGCGAATTGAGAACCGTCCCGTTTTTTGAAGTCGGTTAAAAAGTAACTCCCAAAGGGATCCTTAAATTAAAATATGACCGTCTCGCCAAATAATTATTATAACGCTCACAATTCTACAGAGATGCTTGTGTCTTTTTACCACTCTTCAAGTTTGTCACACGCGGTGTAGTGACACCCTAATTTTACACTAGACATATTTCTAAATTTCTTATTGCACGTAAGAAGCTGAAATATAAACTGGGATTTTATCAACTTGATGCCCCGGGCAATAACTGTTCCGGCAATAAATGTCTGGAGCTATAACTGTACTATGATTTTCTGTTCTATGGTAGAGTTATATTACCAATACAATCGATACAAGCACGTCAAACATTTAATTTTGGCCCGTGATCATGAATCGTATACATTGTTCAAAATGTCGACAACTTACGATTGCCAGGTGGCAAACGAGCTGGTGGTTCACCATGTTGAGGGGCAACCACCGCCATTGACACTTGCAACACCCGCAGGGATGTAGATGCGCTGCTATCTTTTAATAAAGTGTTTACCGGCGACCTAACTCACCAGACGAAACGCAGAAGTATAACACTTTCATTTTACACCGGTCTTCTGTGAGGTCGTGGTACTTACCCTGATGGACCTGCCCATTCGTGCAACAGAAGAGACTGTTGCGTGGCTCTGCCACAGTCTAAAGATTTACGAATAATCTCGTTAGCATGTTTCATCTTTTACAAGATAACTTTGACATAACAAACGGCTCGTGAAACAAAGTATTTTGTGTTTTCGTTTCGGTCCTGCCATTTTAATAAATCAAGGAAATACGTTAGAGATGCCAATGATAAACGATTTTAATTTCGCAAGTGCTATATGGAGTGGAGAATATATCGGGAAATTATACGAAAGCTACATTTGAACACTCTTTGTATCAATGCAATGGAGAATTTCAATATAGTTTTCACCCTATACCAGATAAATTTGGAATTTTTCAAGCATCAATTGAGAATCGATTATGACAAAAAATCTCAGTTATAAATTGGGAAAATAATGTTTGGGGACTCGACTGTGTATAACTTTGATGTACAAAATAAAAAAAATCAACATTTTACTAATATAATAAACGGGATCAGCCCGTTTCGGGCGTGGTCATTATAATTGTAATACTATATCACTACATGATATAAAAGAAAGCCGAACCGCTGTCTGTCTGTACCTATGTATGCTTAGATCTTTAAAACTACGCAACGGATCTTGATGCGGTTTTTTTTTATTAGATAGAGTGATTCAAGAGAAATGTTTATATGTAGGTATAATAAATACATTGCACCCGTGCGAAGCCGGGGCGGTTCGCTAATATATACTATCTGACCCCCCCCCCCCCCCCCCGCTTCATTGGGTCATACCATCTTCTTTAAATCAAAAAGTATAGGTTCCGGATAAGTAATCACAAACATATCATATACTAAAACCTTCTCCGAAACACGTTGCATCTTATGGTATAAATATTATTCAAACCAAATCAAATCAAAAAATATATTTGTTCAAATAGACGCTTGCGAGTTCTTATGAATCGTCAATATTACATAAAAATAGAATTTCGATCGGTTCAGTAGTTTTCGCAGCATAACCGAAAAAAATTCGCCCAAGTGCGAGTCGGATTCTCGTACAAAGGTGTTGCATTATCTATAAAAACGGCAAAAAAGTCATGTCTGTTGTATGGGAGCTCTTTTAGTGTTTGTTGTTATAGCAGCAACAGATATACATCATCTGTGATATTTCAACTGTATAACTATCACGCTTCATGAGAATGAAACAGCCAGATGACAGACGGACAAAGAGACAGAGAGACAGACAGCGGAGTCCTAGTTTTTAGGGTCCCGTTTGACCCTTTGGGCACGGGACCCTAAAGACCGTAACTGTACATATACACTAACAGGGGTGAAGTTTCTGCGCGGCGATGTACTTCTCCAGTTTCCTGCGGAGCACGATCTCCGCACCGTATCTGCCCACCGAGCCATTGTCCACCAGCAGGAAGTAAGCGTGACGGTTGTTCAGCACGGCCAGCTTCGATCTGCGAACGCGTTGGAAAATGTATCCGAAAGCTAAATACGTTATTTAAAGGGCTATTTAAAAAAAAGACATATAATAGCATACAATTATAAATCTGCAGTAACCCTCTGCCATAAAAGAATACTTATTATTATTTATTGTTTATTTATTAAGGTACACCAACAGCACTCACATTTATTTTTTTTTTAGTTACCGGTTCTGATCTTATATGTATGCCTATTATGGGTAAGAGTATACACAACATTTACTATCTAAATAAAAGTATACTCAAATTATAGCTAAGAACCATCTCGATCACGTCAGCTTTCAACCAAAAAAACCGCAACATAATCGGTACATTAGTTTAGAAGCTACGATGCCACAGGCAGACGCAGATGCACAGACAGACACGTAATCGTATAACACCCCTCTTTTATATGTAGGGGGTTAAAAAGAAAGCACATTAGAATACAACACGTCCACGTCTACTACACCTGAGTTTTTTTCATTCTGGTTTTTAGTTTAGCAAAGCCAGTTGCTGTAAAAATTGATGATTTACTTTAGCAAAGCAACTGGCTTTGGTAAACTAAAAAATTGATGACTCCGTGGCGCAGTCGCCATGGTATCGGCTTCGGCGTCGGGGGTCGTGGGTTCGATTCCCACACGGGACAACTAATTGCGTGACCCACAGATTGTTGTTTCGCATCTGGGTGTTTGTCCACGTAAAATTTATGTTTGTTAAATGTCCTTACGACACAGGATAATGTTATCCTAAAGTAAGGGCAATGCTTTAAAAAAAAAAAGAGAAAAAAAAATCCAATCACAGTAATAATTCATAATTACTGCAAAAAGCTAACTTGTGACTGTCTTTTTAAATTAGTCTATATTATTTTAAATATTGATATTAGTTATATACTTTCACTTTAGTTATATACGTGCTGGATAGATCAATATTTAACGTCCGTCGCATAGATTTTTTTTGCAATATAAATTTCAATATTTACGTACGCTAACCAGAAACCCCTTTGTGTGCCAACATGTGAAGGATGAACGGAAAAATATCCGCGTATTGATATAGTGTATTTACAGCATATATTGACACTCACGTACCACTATAACCTTTTTACAACCTGTTGCCTTTTCATATTTACTTTCGAGACACTTCCATTTATGAACGTTTTACGCGGGGAAGCAGTTTAGAGGGCAAACTTATCAAACAAAAGCACAATTTTTAATTTTAATGGGTATGATTTGGGGTTATTGGATAGTTCACTATTCGATTTGGTGAAAAAATATAGTAAATAAAAGTGAGTCGTCTTTTACATTCTTCAAAACTTAAAATATCTCTGGTCTTCGCTTAGAATTTCTTTACTTTGAGAGTAATAAATATGTGCATTAAAAATTATTGAACGTAACAATTGTTACGTATTTAATATAGCATGTTCCTAAATTCGTTTAAATATGTAAAAAGTCTAACTATCTAATGTGTGTACAATAAAACACAAGTTAACCTTATCTTACAGTGGATATATAACAAAAACTAAGAAAACTAAAATACGCAATAAAAGACACTAAAAAGAAAAAATATTAATTGATGATGTTCGTGTATTTTATTCAAAGAATTGATATGTTTTTTGACAGCATCGGCGGATGTCTAAGAAATGAAATGCTTTGTGGCCTGAATTGTAGTGTAAGTATTTAAATAACGTTATAGTGTGACACAGTACAAAATAATAACTGACAACTAAATCACGAAGACTGACGACGGAAGATAAAATTTAAAGCTTATCCTACACCTGCCGTATTTATAGCTCCTCATATACTATTAACATCAGCGCGTCCATGAAAATCTTAAAGTTTGGACCCATCCAAACAATCGCTCAGCACGCCTTAAGAAGTTTTCACTTTGATAACCGTTCAGTCTGCTATTTACTCTTTTCATTCATTATGAAAATTATATTTACCTAGGTGATGCAATAGCGTGGTATGGTACATCGCGTCCCCTTCCTATTAGTTCGTGAGCGCCTTCCACAATACCCCAAGGAGCAATTCCAATGCTGACTACCCTACCAGCTCGCTGCGACCGCTCCAGCTGTAGGGCATCACCAACTTGACGAGTCACTCCTGGAAAAAGGAATGCCGTTGAATGGTATTCTTATAATACTTATAAATATAATACTTTTAATTTATTTTTATGATTAGTATTCTTATAATTACAAGCGTTGCTTACTTTGGAACTAGAGAACGTTGTGTAGAAATAAGTCCTAAATATTATATTAAATCACAATACTTAAAACTACTTGAGCAGGATACAAAACACCTGGTTTTGAGAATTTTAGTGCAAAATATTTGGAACAGACAATAGCAGTTCTGATTCAAAAGCTGTGGATGTCTATTGCCACTCTTCTTTTTCTATGCTATAAGTCATGCGGGTATGTGGTATAGATACCATTGATGAACAAACACTGATGACGTCTAATTGTATTAACTCACCAGTGTTGGTTCCCCCGGTGAAGATCCAAGCGCCCGTGGTCTTGGCGGCCTTCAGCAAACCTTTCCTCAGCACTTTCTTCAGCTTCGGTTGCAAGTCGAAATTGGCTTTTCCACCTTGGATGGTAATCAGGAGCTTCGGCCGATCCAGCGCCCATTCCCTCGTCAGCAGTTGAACAATCAGGTCGGGTCGTGTGTCGTGGGATAGACGGACGTACTGTAGAAGAAATGTTAATGAAAATAACCTGATAAATAGACCGAGATAAATCCGGGCTATTTTATACTTTTTAATGGAAACGAGCGTTTTGTAAAAGCTTTGTTCAGTACAATTTCAATTCTCGATTGCCACAATGAGGGGCCCTGCGCGTCTTACAAGGGATATATTTTTATAATATATCAAATCTGTTAGTCAACAACGGCTTTCCTAAAGACCCTTACCTTAACCTTAAGACCCTTTATAAAGAGGAAGACTTAGCTCACCGCTATTCCATAAATTATTTCACTAATGTTCGGCGTTAAATCACCTGAGCTTTTGTGGGATGTGGCCCGCCTTGGAACTCGACGGTTCCGTAGGCGTCGGTTGGTGCTGACTGCGTGTGCCTCGCTGGGACCCACGCCTCCCCCGGCGCCGCAGTGGCCGCGTTTGAGCCATGGGCGGTTTTGCTCAAACCACACCAGCATCTAGGTAAAAGACGTCCAATTAAATAAGACCTTTAGACAGGTTACGAGGTTGCATAATGATCAGAAGAGTAAAATTCTTTACTACTATCTTGGACAATTTTTTTTTAAAGTTGCATGTTGAACTTTGAACATGGGAGCAAGCATGACGTGGATAAATGTTTGATAAATTATTCGATTATTACTGTAATCATATAAAACCTCATTTCATTAACGTCTCGTTATTCATGACGCAAACAGAAAATAAAATGCACTTTTCGTGTTCACTCATGACAGTTGTTGATTTAGAACTAACACCACAATTTTAAAAATTCTTAAAATGTATTAATAATAATCTTGTTCAAATTCAATCTGCGAAAGCCCAATAATGGACGATGATAAGAAAAAGGGGAGTAACGCGTCCACGAGTAAAATCGAAGAGGGCAGCCATAACTCCAGACAGGACTTGGACGAGGAGGAGCAGGATGTGCGTTCCAACTATTATGAATCCGAGTCCAGTGTGTATTCAGAATTGAGCGGGATGGACATGGCAGCGGTGGATTCGGTAATACCTAAAGTGCCGAGTATTATGCAGAAGGTCATAGACAAAAGGGACAAGACGGGCCGTCGCGCTGGAAGGGTACAAAAGCGCAGGACGCGCACTGCAGTTCAATCTAGACGCCAGGCTGCCAGACGGGCCCCAAAGAGTCCACCGGTCACCCGAAAGTACAGGAGGAATCGGAACTATCTGGCGCCGGAGACACTGAGAGGAACCGCGAAATTACAAAATCTCGCTTGTAAATACTGCGGGCACCGTTGCTGCAGAAGGTAGTTTTTTTTGTTCAATATTTCTTTATGACAATTGATTAAATGTACTTTTTGTGGATTAAATTATTGAGCGTTATACATTCGTTTCATTGGTTTCCGGAATAATGATGATAAATAGATCTAGGGGTCAGCGGAGGCTAGTAGAAAAGCGGAAACGTCGTCGTCAGAACTTCAAACGTGTGAATAAGAGAAGGAATTTAAAAAGAAAGAATCTTTCAATCTCAGGTCAGATTATATTTTTTTTTAACTTAGTCTCGAAATAATTCATCCAGCGGAGGGTAACTGATCAACTCTGTTACAGTTGATATTTTGAGATGTGTATATGAAGGACCATTGATTCTTTAGGGCCCAGAAACGATGCTGAGCATATTAGATATTATATCTTTTAATTTTCGATATTTTAACGAAGCGTTATTGGACCGGTTACATAAATTTCCAAACGTTAGTCCGTTCATGCGATAATAATGAAATGATCCGCATGGCTAGTGTAAGAAAGGCGGTACTAAGCTCTTTGAAAATAAAATTGAGTTATTTTAAATGGAAAACCTAATACTACAGCCTATATATTTATTAACTTAAATGAATAAGTAACTTTCAGGATCAATTTTTATTTATTAGCGCTAGTCTCACTCAAAATCTCAAGATGAATCTTAAAATGCGAATGTTTGTAGATAAATAAACAAAAACTTTCTGCGCTGCGGGGATCGAAGTCTGCAATGCGACGTTTTAAAATCACATTTCAATAAGTAAATAAATAAATAAATATGTTAAATAAAATGTGACCATCAATCCGAGGTTGGCATCTATTGTTCAATTGAGGCCTTCATTGATATATTTAGCACAAATGGCTTTTGAGAGAATTTAAGGTCTAAATGTCGTCAGGGTCAGTCGGCACTCAGGTGGGTTCAAGGAGCAAGATGCTTTCAACTTTATTTCTGCGAACTAACAATACGTTAATGGATGCTGGAAAAATTGTACAGGGCGAAGATAATCATTGTGAGGTATTAAGAAAATCCTTTGTTATAGTTGAGAATATGTGTGACAAAATGAGGTGCAATACCTAATAATAGATTTACATCTAAAGACATGAGTGAAGATAATATTTAGATATGAGAAGAACATTATGATTATTTATTATATTAAGATAATATTGAGATTGCTTTTCTTAAAAATTCTTAGTTGTAGACGAGATGAAATTCATTTTAGGAAATGATTGTTGTCAAGGGATGTTTATCCTTTTAATCACAAATGGAAAAAGTAGGATATAAATAACTTTTAATTTGTATGCTGGAAAGGATATGACAATGGATGCGCCAACCATTGCTTCGAATGCTAAAATAACAATGTAGATAAGACGTTAAGATTTTCGTCAGTGTGGCAATCAGCCGTTTAGCTTAGTGGTTAAAGCGTCAGGCTGCGAATGCCGAAGGGTTCGATTCCTACCGCGGCGACAATCTTTTCGTACTTTTTCTATATATTTTAATGTTTAATTTCTGAATTATTACTTAACAATGTTTGTAATTACCTACTTAATAAATGTATTCTAAGGTGATTTATTAAATGCTTTTTACGCCGGAATTTATAAATATGTAACAGGTTTTCTCAAATGGAAACTAATACGTGAAATTCATAAGTAACAATAAAGTCACAACTTTAAAAGTCATAAACTGTACATAGTAATTACCGAGATAATGATAATTATATTTTCTATGTACTATTTCAAGGTAACTCCAGAAATGATATTGGAAGCCCTAAAGAAACTAAGCATGTGGACTCAAGCTGTTGAGACAACCGCCATCTTGAACCACTTGATGGTAATTTTTTTAAAACAACTGAATTTTAACGTCCACCACTTAATGATAATATTGAGTTATGTGATGGAAAACTGTCACTTTAAAATAAGTCTTCTAAAAGATGACATTTGCCGCAACATTCCATTTATAGTTTCCTTCTTGAATGAATTGGTGTCTGACGTTTACGCTCGATTAAAAAAAATATTATTATTGAGAATTAAAATTGTAAGCACCCTATTATTAGTATTCACGACTGTTTCTATTAATTATCTCCAACATAATTTTATTCACTATTCACGGTACAGTAATATACGACTAGACGACGCCCGCGCTTTGTCCGCGTGGTATTCAAAATAAATAAAATTCATAAAAAAAGTGGTTAATCCTTATTACATCCGCTATTCAGAAAGAAGATAAGGTTAGAAGAGTACCGACAAACAGACAAAAATAATATAAAAAATGTTATTTTGGTGTATGTACTGTGCATACATATACATTTAGTAAAAAGCGATTATTTTAATTTATTATTACTTTTTTAAATTACAAACGAGCACTCCAATTTTATTTATATGCATATGTAGTAAGAAATTGGTGCATCTTTTTTCGCCCGCCATCCAATTCGGTGGCGCGTGAAGTAAATTTACTAGAGTGAAATTAAATAGTCTCAGCGATCTAAAACAAATAGTGACTATTTATACGTGTTGCGGGGCGAACGAATTTCCTGAGCGTTTGGTTGAATTGGATAGAAAAACGCCTTGTAGTGTACAAACCTGGTTCGATGACCGGCACGCTATGTTATTTATTGAAATAACTTAAAAAATTAAATCAAATTTATCTTAAAATTACAAAAAAATCAAATTCAAATTATTAAAAAAAATATGGAGTTTTATACTGCCTAGTATTGGCCCTTACGTTGGCAATTAGCATAACTATAAGTTAAATAAATTGCTGTATACATTTCATTATAATAATAATAATAAATAATAAATAAATAAATATTTGGGACACATTTGTACACAACATTTTCTAGACCCAAACTAAGCTTGTTCTATGGGTACTAGAAAACTGATAGACATACTTAAACATACTTTTCTTTAGTAAATAAATACATATTATACATTTATAAACACCCATACACTAGAAAAACACCATGTTCATCACACAATATTTTTCCAGTAATGGGGATCGAACCCACACCCTCTGGCGCAGGAGGCAGGTACACTACCCACTACGCCATTCGGTTCGTCAAATGTAATAATAGTCTTCAATAATATATTGAGTATACGCCCGAATTGCAAAACTTAAAATTGTGATAAAATTTTAGACGAATTATCCAGTGAACCGTGACGCTGAGAGTCTGGAAAAGGATTTGTTGGAGAAACTTCAGGTCGCAACAGTCGCCGGTAAGCGATTGATACAATTTCTTAGACAGGACGCTAACTATATGTATATTACCGTAAATTCTTGATGAAACAAAACCTGTAACCATGTAAGATTTAAAAAAAATCAATGCCGACTTAACATCAGGTTAATCGCCAGCTAATTTGCCAGTTTCTCACATTTAAAAAAAAGAAAATATTGCCGTTATGAATAACTACTTTTAATTGGATCATGCGTTTGTTTTCATGATAAATCATTCAGGTATTGTAACGCAAGTGTCCAATGACAGCTGGGAGCTGTGTCGAGATTTGCAGAGGAGAGAGTTGACGAAGAATCACGTGACGAGGTTCTGGGAACTCTACGGGGACACAATGAGTTCCATTACAATAAAAGATGTGAGAAATATTTGGACATTTATTAATTTCATTAAAAACTTGTGAATGACTCAAACTTGTCACCCAACTTAAGTTTGATAATATGTAAATGTTAGTTCATATGAAATTTAAAATATAAATACAGTTTACAATTTTCTTAGCTACTATCCAGAAAACAACATAAAAAACGCTCTGCGTTGAAATGTATACTTTTATATTTCTCTTCAAGTAATGACAGTCAACAGTTAAGAGTGCCCCAATAACTTATAAACGCATTTATTTATCATGTCAGTCGTAATAATGATCAAGCAGACAGTCGTAATAATGATTAAGCCGATAGTCCTAGAAGTATTGTGTTGTCGTTATAAATTTTGATATTTATACAAAATGAGAGCCGTGATAGCTCAGTGTCCGGGCGCTCGCTTTTAATTCAATATACCTGAGTTCGATCCCCTTTACATAACTTTGAAAAAAAAAATATTTTTCAAAGATATGTGAAGTCCACCAATGTGCAGTGTTTTACAATAAATAGTAAAGTACTTTGAATTATAATTTCTTGTATTTACGCGATTACACATTATAAATGAAACTAATTTTAAGGATTTATCGCGTTTAATTTTAATTCTCGACGTTTTGAACCCTTTACAGC